ATCTATCTCATTCTGATCTTATCTATCTATCTATCTATCTATCTCATTCTGATCTCATCTATCTATCTCATTCTGATCTTATCTATCTATCTATCTATCTATCTATCTATCTATCTATCTATCTATCACATTCTGATCTCATCTATCTATCTCATTCTGATCTTATCTATCTATCTATCTATCTCATTCTGATCTCATCTATCTATCTCATTCTGATCTTATCTATCTATCATCTATCTATCTATCTATCATCTATCTATCTCATTCTGATCTCATCTATCTATCTCATTCTGATCTTATCTATCTATCTATCTATCTATCTATCTCATTCTGATCTCATCTATCTATCTCATTCTGATCTTATCTATCTATCTATCTATCTATCTATCTATCTATCACATTCTGATCTCATCTATCTATCTCATTCTGATCTTATCTATCTATCTATCTATCTATCTATCTCATTCTGATCTCATCTATCTATCTCATTCTGATCTTATCTATCTCTATCTATCTATCTATCTATCTATCTATCTATCTATCTATCTATCTATCTATCTATCAACGTTACGGCATGTTTTTATTAATATGTGTTAATAAGGAGATTAACAAATACATTTTTGTTATAAATAAATTTATTTTTTTTATTAAAATGTTTAATAGGTTATCCAAACGGGTGTCTCCTTTGTGTTCAGAAATTTTCAATTCTTCCAGACATCTCCTTTATGATTTTTATTGTATTGTAGGCACTTTATCTTATATTTCCCAGCTTCTGATATCTTGTTGGTTCTCTTTTCTTTCTCATTAATTCTTTGTCTTGGAACTAGTGGTGATAACTTTAGTGTCTGGAATAGTTAAAGATATTTCAAGTTCAATAGGTAAGTAGTTGGTAGAATTATAAATTTTGCATTTTGGTTGTTCATAATACTTGCTTTTTTTTTTTAGTTTTAAGAATTTTCTGTGCTTTTCTGATTCTCTTTCGGAATTTCCATAACCTGAGATAAGCGCAATGAATTGGTGCTGCCTTGGAATTGGTGCTGCCTTGGGCAAGGAGTCTTCTATAATTGGACAGTGCAAGTGGAGAGGACCGAAGTTAGAAGATCTAATCTTTTGAAGGTGTCTAAATTCTCAGATTCGACATATTGTCTATATATATATATATATATATATATATATATATATATATATATATATATATATATATACTATATACTCGAGTCTCCTGTCGAATTCAACGTATGAGGGTCAAGCAGATCAGAAACCGACAGCCCGACAACAGCACATGAGATTTGATTATAGTGGTGAAGGTTTCGTGCAGGACTAGCCACACTTTTTGAAGGGCCGAATACAGAGACCTGGTGCACTACGTGCCACAAGGTCCCCAAACAACCCCCTCAGGTTTTGAATTCAGAGTTTTCCTTCTCCTAGACCAGTTGCCATCCAAGGCTATAGAACCAGGTCTGTCCTGCTATTTACCCATAGCTGGAGGGAGAAGAAGAGGATTCACACCTTTCTCAAGAGTATTAGTACATAAGTGAATGTAATGGATTCGACTGGAATTCGAACTTCTCAATCCAAGCCGCTATCCATTACTCCACCATATATGTGGTGGTCATAATCGTTCCTTCACTCATTTAATGCCAAATCCACCGAGTTTGAGGTCGCAGTAGTCACATGAAATCTAAGAAAACTAATAGCAGAAACACGAGGAACATTGGTAATTATTATTATTTCTTTTATTTCCATCTTAATTTCAGTTGCTTTTCATTGCTAAGTTTATTCTGGTCGTCGATCTACGGCAGTAAGTAGACAGTGTAGTATAGGAAATAAAACGCAGTGAAATTCAAATTCATCTTCCATTCGTTTCAGTCAAGCCAAGCTGAATGCACGAGCTGAACGCACCAGGTGCTTTAACCGCTAATTTACGAGAACTTAGCGGACTCTCCGGCCTCAAAGGAATTCAAAAGGGTTTCTGCAGACTTGTAGGTAATCCATTATCTTCTACCCTACAATCCCTTTTCACGCAGACTAAACGAAGCAAGTCTAACCCTAACCCTGCCGATTTTCCATAATCTAACCATTTCAGAGTTTTTCAGCTAATACCCGCCATATCATGTACAAACAGGTAAATCCTCTTCATTTCCTTCATATTCTACTGGTAAAAAGAAAGTTCGATTCGGGTACATTCTTTCCATGGGGTGAACCTTTAGGAAATAGTACAAACCGTAGAAGGACGTGTCCCCGTTCGTTCAATAAAGTAGCCATAAATACCTGTTGGAATTGCTCAACAACCTTAACGTATTCGGGAAGGATATTAGAATAATCAAGAACTTATAGAGGCAGCAAACTGGTTACATACGGATAGAAAATGAGTTCAACAGATATATAAAAGTAGGAAAAGGGTGTAAGATAAAAATGTGTCTTCTAACCAGATTTATTCAATCTATACAGCGAGGAGAGTCTGAGAGAATTAGAGGTCCTCACAAGATTCGTTATTGGC